TACTACTGTACTGTTAGATTGAAGAAACGTACAAACCGTGGTACAGTACGTACTACCGGTACGCGGGCGCCGTACATTTCACAGTCGCAATTTGGTTTTCCCGCACATTACAAAACCGACCGGGTACCGAGGAATTACCGACTTCACGGAGGTCGAAAATTCGGTGAAACCTTGGTCGGGGCACGGTCGGACCGAAGTATTACCTCGGAATATACCGATCCGGCGCGTCGCGCCGTAGGGGTCCCGTGTGATAACACCCTTTGATCGGTTCACCATTCGGCCATACTTTTCGCCCTTCGATTGCATGAAGTTTATTTGGGAGTACAGAGCTTGCATCAGAACTCAATGATCAATTGCATGCATTAAGTTGTGTTTGAAGAAGAAGTTAACTAACCGGGTCTTAACTTTTTCTTAATCGTCGTTCTCTTTCCAAAACGCCGTAGCCGCCACGGGCCATATATAGGCTTCCATGGCATACGTGGTACCACGCAGTAATCAATGAGTTCCGAACTTACGCCATGATCGGTATTAGTTCGCTGCTATCCCTCGATCGCAACTATTAAGGTTTGAAATGATGATCAATAATGTGCGAAATACTTTGAACATACATTCGTCAAGATGGTCGGCCGGACAACGTGAGTGACCGTCGCATGTGCATGGAATCACGCTTGCACATTGCTGCCGGAGCTTCTTCGATCAGATATGTAAGTTGTGGAGTAAAACTTGAACGAGACTTTTACCTAAACTTTTCACTAAAGTTTCACCTAAGGTTACTACTGGTATTCACCCTTGGACTCGGCATGTCCATGCAATTCGATGCGGATCAGCAAAATGAACAGAACTCACTTGAACGCAACCGGGGATATGGGGGGGATATCAACCATGCCGACGTCTGCGGAGCCGTCTGTTCACTTTCTCGCCCCGTAAATCCTAGTCCCCGGTGCAGACCCCACCCGGCCATGATAACTCATCACGAAGGAACAAGCGGTCCAAGGGTCCAGTAGACCAAAGTCCGCCCAAGCGTCAAAGCCCCAAAGCAGCTCGATCGTATTCAGGTTAGACCATCCTGTTAGACCATCAAAATCGAGAATGCCTCCTAAGAGTCTACGTGGTTTCATTTCCGGTTGATGTGACCACCGTACACGGTACTCAGCATTCACGTCGACGTTTTTTGATAAATCTCGACCGTCCAATGGGTACTTCATGGGGCCCATCGACGGAGAATCTGGACACTTCAAGTAGAAGTTGCCCGGCCGGTTACCAAGGTCCAGGCTGACATTGACAAATTAGCTCAGTGATTGCCCTCTGATCGCCCAGCTTCACCTGCACGAACAGCTCACCACTTGCTTGAGCTCTCGTGTTGCATACATGATGATGTCGCAAGGGTGAACTTGAAGCCAGGTGAAGCAGATGCAGGAGCTCTCGCGCCATTGGAAGGAAGGTCATATCATGCAAAAGGCAGAAGGTCAATTGATGAGCAACTTGAAGCACCTGCCAGAAGTCTAAAACAGGATGAAGGTCTGCGTGTTGCACCCATCATACGAGGGCTCTTCATCACCATGCAACGGCCTTGATCCTGACGCAGCTCCAGAACTCTGGCTCGAACCAGAGCATGAGGTGGAAGCAGTCAAATTGCGAAAGAGCACAGCAGTGAAACAGCTCATTGAGCTCAGCAAAAGGGGCTTCGATTGCTTCTTGAACCTCTGCGACGGAGCATGGTAAGCAAAAAGTTGGTGGCATGTTGTCAGCCAACTTTCAAGGATATGTAGTGTGTTGAACGCTCTGGAGGGCAGGTCCTAGTGTGTGCAGCTTTGCTGGCGTGTTGCAGTCCTCATTGTAAGCTTCAGCTGTGAACAGAGAGACTGTTCTTGCAGGGATGAGGATCGAGCAGGCGTAGAGGTGGTGGAGGCACTGGAAAAGCTCAACCTGCCGTACACTGGGGCGATCCCCTCTTTCTACGATCCTTCCAAAGGTAAGTAGACCAGGGAAGTATGATATGTACGCAGCAGAGACATTAGGATCTATCTGCAGACTGCTAGCAAGGTTTCTGGCTGTGTGAAAGTCTTGAATGGAAGGCAATTGCTGGTAGCACCACCGCATTTACCAGTGTTGTACAGCGGCCTTATCAAATCCAACCTGTTCTGCATAAGAAGCAGTGCTTGCAGTTGCACCGAGCTGACACAATCTTTCTGTTGCTTGAAGAGCTCATGAAAACGACCGCTCTGTACTACGGGGTCCCTACCCCTGGCTTCAGAACCTGCTGGCACCTGGAGGAGGCTGCTGAAGCTGGTCAAGAACTCCAGTATCCTCTCATTGTAAAACACCACAATGGTAGGTACTGCAAACCAAGTTCTAGGAGGAAGCAAAAGTTCGTCTGTGTGAGTCATTATGATGCTGGCACGCAAGGCCTGCCCTGCACGCGTGTTAAGTGCCTCTTACACAATGTGTTGGTTGGAAGCATTGTTATCCGTATAACTCACATCAGAAAATGTTGCTTCTAACGCACACTGTCTGTTTTTTTGTGTTTGCAGGATACAACAGGTAGGTTTATGGTGCTAGCTGTTACCAACTTGATGCACAGCGCGCTATATGATTGAGGTGCTGTAGATCTCTGGATCGAGTGGCACAAAGAGAGAGCGTCTTGCCAAGGTGACTTCATGAGTAGTCTGCTTCTAGAGAATGTACTGTCAAACAGAGAAGTGACTGCAGGAATGGTTAAGTCGGTGTTAAGGTTATTGTCTTCCAGCTCATAAGGTGGCTGATGTGGGTGCTGATGAGAAACCAATGTGCACATTGCACAGATACTGTTGTTGCAAGTTCCTTTTACCACAAGGCTGATTCAACGGACTGGATCAAGTCCAAGACCAATAGCCGGAATAAACTTTTCATAGGCGGACTCTTTGATTTGGCGCCTCTTGATTGTCCAAGAAGTACCCCTTACGATGGCCGAAGAGCTCATTAGTGCACCACTGCAATGTTTTTCTCTGAGGAGCAGCAGAAGGGGTTCAGTCACCCAACCCGAGACAAGCAATTTGTCAGAGTCCATTGCCCCTCCTATCCATAGAAACGAGAACGTCCATCAAGCCAGCCGACAGCTATCTGACGATCACCACCTCGCACCCTTTTTGCAGCATAGGTCTGACCAAAAAGTCAAGGTGCACGGACGAATCCCAGCTTCGAACCCAGGCGGAAGATATGATTGAAGCGTATGGGGGCTGCATGGTTGAAGAGTTCATTGACGGTCGCGAGTTCACAATCTTAGTGGCCGAGAATCCTGACTGTGCGGCTAAACCGATCGTCTTCACACCTGTCGAGTGCCGCTTTCCGGACGGCGAGACCTTTAAGCACTTCGACTTGAAATGGGTCAACTACGAAGGCATTCAGTGGGTTCCTGTCGAAGACGAAATCGTCGCTTCCAAGCTGAGGGACATGGCTCAGAAGGTGTTTGTGGGGCTGGGCGGGACAGGCTACGGCCGGATCGATGCCCGGGGGGACAGCGAGGGAAACGTCTACTTCCTAGAGATCAATCCCAACTGCGGCATCTTTTACCCGCCAGAGGCCATGGGAAGCGCTGACTTCATCCTCACGTTGGATCCCACGATCGATCACAAGCGCTTCGTGAACCACATCCTGAGGTGAGCGCCGTCGTAGGACGCAGGACCCAGAGGTTGCAACTTCTCTGCTAGTCTTTGCAGTTCCAGATTCCTAAGCCGGCCCGTACTATTTTCCCGCCAGTTACGGTGATTGGGGCATGGTCTTTTGTCCGAGGCCTTATGACGCCTTTCAGTCGTATTCAAGGAGGACAGCAGACGAAATGGCATCGGGAGTTGCTCGTGTGCCAAGCTCTTGAATCACATCAGCAATCAAAGTAATTGTCCAAGTATGATTTGAAAGCACGAGTCAGGAGTTCAATGCGTCAATGTGCTTTTTCGGTATACACGCTCAATGTGGTTAACCATTGTTCTCCCAGGTGCGCAAAGCTGAGGCACGAGCGGAAGCAGAAGCCGTTCAAAGTGGTGTACAGCAACCGCACTAAGGGGTTCGGCCTCTTCGCCGCCCGGAATATCCGAGCAGGCGAGATCGTGGACCGGGGAGAGGAGAAGGCGACGTATCTCGTCTCAATGTCGCACGTCGAGAAGCAGTGGACGGAGCATCAAAAACGGTGAGTAGCCGGCTTTTGGCGTTCCCCGTTCAGCGTGCAAGGAAGCGAAGCCGTGTAGGTGGACCCGCTGGCGAGGGCTAGTAGGATATCGTCCTTGTTCTGCGTCTTTGGGCCCGCAATTTGCGGCTGGAATTCCAAAAACTCATTCGGAGCCAAAAATTAGTTTCTTTGTTGCAAATCTTAGCAGATTTTGGTAATGCCTTGCAGAACGCGTTGTAAAATGGCCTTTCAGCAGTCGAGGACGGAAAGACAGTGAAGAGTGCCACAGTTCCCTTCGTTGGGACTAGAACTGACTCTGCCTATGGCTTGCCACTCTAATCTTTGCTCTAAATCGTGGTCGATCTGCTATCTACAGGTGGTTTGCGCAGTACTGCTACCCGGTATCCAGGAACGTTTCAGCAATGTGGAGTAGTAATCCGGAGGACTGGAAGCCAATCAACCACTCGTGCGATCCTAACACGTGGCTCCAGGTATGTCGAAACCAGGTCTCCCGACGTGTCTGAATCGCAACTTATCAAGCGGTCAAGCGGCTTTACCTTGCCTCGTATTCTAGGAAGTGTTCCAAAAAGGGTTCAAGACTTCCAAAATAGATCCATTTCGAGACGGCTGAAGGGCGAAGTTAGCAGCGAGCACGTCGTATTCCAGGTAGCTGTGAATACAAGTCTGATCAAGAAACCACCTTTCTGCACCCTGGCGGCTGAGAGAACTCACGAAAATTTGTAGAAGCTGCTGAGTTGGTCCCGTTTGGGTCCTCGACATTCTAAAATCCCACGGTAGCAGCAGGTCGCGACTTACTTGACTCTGACCGTCGAACGTGTGTTATTCTGAGCTTCTGCGATCGGGTTCTGCAGTCGTTTTGGTCTCCTTCTGTGTTTGACACGAGTGGTCGATTCCTCCATGGTCCGCCCTAAGTACTCAAGTTGTGCGTAACATCCTCTCAGGCTGTTCTGCCGTTCAACTGAGCCTGCGCTTCAACCTCGTTGAAGGCCTCAACACTCACGGCTTATGGCACCCGGCCTCTCAGCACACTGTTATCGCCTGTCAAAAGTTCCCCTGGCACTGAAGTTCGGTCACACCTAATTCTCTATTACGTTCCTCCCAGTTCCAGATTCTTGGAATCCAAAGGGCCCCCTTGATAAACCTCTCATGCACTTCAACTTTTGCCGCACTTCAGGGTTTGGATACGGTGGCCAGGCGAGACATCAGCAAGGGCGATGAGCTGACCATCGATTACGCCACGTTCTGTGTCGACTGTGAGGCGTTCGACTGCTGTTGCGGGACGGCGGCCTGCCGCAAGCGAGTCACGGGGAAAGAGTATCTGGAACCGTGGCTGGAAGACGTGTATCAGGACCATCTCTCGGACTACATCCGTCAGATTCGTTCAGAGCTGACGGTCAGGAAAGGGAGCGCAAAAGTCTTCGCGGAAGAGCTTCTTTCGGTGGACCACATCCAATGATACAAGAACTTCAAACTTGTAAATATACCTATAACATTCATGTCTGACTCCCAGAGTTAAAAGACATGATAGGAGCTAGACACGTGTATAGATCTCATAGTCTTGCGGCAACCGACATGCAAGCATAAACATGCTTGTGCACGCGCTGGACCCATCATCATGCTTACAAGAGCCACAGCGTAAGAAGAGTTACGTGTCACAGTGACAAGATTTAGTCTGCAACGTCGGCGTCTGTGCCAATGATATGATGGCGGCGGCCTGGTCACAATGCATGAGGAATTCGATACAATCCTTCCTGGTCAGGGAGTCTGCATGGCATGCACTGATGGAAACAATCGATTGGCAAAGGATATGGAATGACCGTGTGCAACCAAACAACCTTCACAACGTTCTTTACCAGACCCATATTCTTCTGGCCATGGCGTGCTTCGAGTATCTATTTAGAGCTGGCGAAGAAGGTCGGACAATTCGTAAAGCTGGACCTACCATACTCTCATTAGACCGCTGTCGTGGCAAGAGCCACAAAGGCTGGCACCTGTGGGCCATTACAGTTTAATGCTTTACCACCGTATTAACTTTCTTCCTACGCTTGTGCTTTTGTATGTACGCAAGCTTAACAAGGCTTGAACCTACCCTGAGCGCGCGCGCCTATACATTGAGGTTCAAGTTCTGACTTTTGAGGCACAACATCCTACAAGGTAATCTAAAGTTAACGCTGGATCGACTCAATGCCTTCCAGCTTGCGACTCTTACAATCCCAATACCTATTTCCGTCCTAGTAAACAAAGCGGTTGATCCCTGAGTAGGTGCCGAACTGACTGGCCAGTCCTGCGCTGGCGAGCAGTTCCATCTCCACCTTGGCTCGCTCGTAGTATACGCCACAGTCCAGCGACGTGCACGCGATCTGCCCAGAGTGTGACCCGTCGGCGCCTCCGCACGTGTCACAGATCTGCACACAAAACAAGCGTCAGTATGCGCTGGCGGCACCGTAAAGGACGAAGTTATCTGGTATGCCTTAGTAAGCGGGCTGTTGTATCCTTCCAACAGGACTTTTAGGGAGTGGTACCCTCTGATTGCCCGCAAGTTGGGTTTCTGCCCTTAACGCTGCCCAAGAGAGATCACGTCACCAACTCCTTCAGCCTCTGCTCTGCAAAAGTATGTCAGCTGACTGAGCAGAAACCAGCAGCTGTGTCAACTACAGTAGGCGCAGCGGTCCTCACCGCCACGAGGTGCGCGTACTCCTTCTCCAGCCGCGCGGCCCGCCCCGTGAGCACCATCCCGACCATCTGCGGCCGCGCCGCGCAGTCCTTGCACACCGTCTCGGCCGCGCGAGTCAGCTGCGAACACACCGCGCAGTGCCGCGACAAATAATACTGGTCGATGGTCCCTCCCCCCCCGCGCCGAGAAGACCGTCCCCGCCCCCCCCCCGAAATGAGATCCACCGCGTTCGCAGCGCCAATCATAGCCCACTCCGCCCCCTCCGCTCCGTCCTCGTCCTCCTTCCCGGGGGGTCCGACGCTGGGAACTCCCTCCCCTCCGTTTGGCACGTGCCCGAAGTCGCCCCACCGCGCAGCGGGGGGGTTCCTGGCGGGGCGTTTGGAGGGGGGCGGGCGGTGAACTTTGGGCATCTCGGCGTACCAGGCGCGCAGGTCGGCCCCGACGAGGCCGAAGAGGCGCTGCAGCGCGGGCAGGATCTGCTTCGTGATGTAGTACGGGCCGTGCAGCCGCAGCGCGCCCCACCGCGTGAGCAGCTCGCTAGGGTCTACCACCTGGACAGCAGGCGGCGTCGGGAAGTGAGCAAGTAATGAAAAGCGCGCAAGAAAATTTATCAGCCTCATATTCAGATTCTTGAAAGGTTTACGAAAGGAAGTGATCAAGTAAAGGAAGCGGGCAAGAAACCTTTTGATCTAATCTACCAGATCAACGAAATGTACTAATGGGAAGCGCCCTTCAACCGTGCAATCGACCACTCATACCCACTTCCCGCAAAAAATCGTCTGTGAAGGCAGGAGCCAGCGAATAGGGTCACAGAAACCAGCAAAAGGCAGGGACTCATATCCTATCCATGAATTGTGCCCTCAAAAGGTTCCTTACCATGTCCACGAGGCGCGCCCCCGGCTCCCCATGCACGACGACATAACGTATGCGCTCGGCGTACTTGGGCTCCGCCCGGGGGTCCTTGGCCATCGCTTTGGAGGCCACGATGGCGGCCGGGGGAAGGACCGCGGCGTTGGGGCTGTACGACCCGAGACGGACCTCCTGTGAAAGAAGAGCAGTGTGCAAGGTTCAAAGCGAGGTCGGAAGAGAGCAAAGACCACTGACGTCCTGCCTGGGAGCACGCGACGATGAAGTTTGTTCGGTTCAAGCTCGATCGCCCCAATCGTTTTTTCACCTCCGAAAGTATCGTGCAATGAGAGCTCATTACAAGTATAAATTCAGTCAAGGGCGCCTCCTTTGCTAGCGCCTTTATGTAAACAGAAACCCGACCACAGTCTGTTCTGTTCTCTTCCCGCTCGCACATCAAGCCCAGGAGGTGACGCGAGCGGAACGTCGACAGACGTGTCTGGGACTCGGAGCTCCGCGCCGCGCTGACCTTGGCAAAGACGAAGTCGTGCACGGAGACGCGGCCGGCGAGGATCTTGTCGAGCTGCCGCTGCAGGTAGAGCTTGACCGCGGACAGGTCGCGCGTCTCAAAGAGCAGCCGCAGGCAGCGCTCCATGGTCTTGGCCACCGCGGGGCAGCTGTCGCGGCGCACGGTTTCGATGCCTTTCGCGTCGAACGTGGGCGTCTTCTGGTCGGGCGACTCGTACATGTAGCCGACGTAGCGCTTCTTAGTGATGAGCATGCACGGGTGGTACACCTTCTCCATCTGCAGGCGGACCGGCGGCGGGTTGGCGGCCGTCACGGCGGCCGCGATCTCGGCGCCGATGCGGTGCGCGTCCGCGCGCGAGCGGCCCTTGAGGAGCACGAACATGCTGCGGGGAAGAGGAGGGGAGGCGCTACAAATGCTGAGGAGCAACCCTCGTTGAAGTCGATTGAGCCCGAGGAGCTTGCAAGCGTAGTACTAACGGCAAGCATTCTAGTGGAAGCTGCAAGTTTCGGGTCCCTTCCGATTGGGAGATCGCCGTAGACAAGCGCCGACTGCCTCTCACCATCTTTTTGAGAAAGACAAGCGCTAATTGTATCTGGAAAAGAAGAGCTTTGGAGCAATTCTGAGCTCAGACGTGGACAAGCCTGAAGGAACGACGCCCAGCGATTTCAGCCAAACGAATGACTTCCACCCAAATGACTACGCCCAAGCAACGGCAGTCATAAATCTTGGACCCTGCCCCACCTGTCAGTGTCCCCATACACGACGCGGGCCCCCCATCGCGGTTCGCTCTCGACCATGCTTATCGCGCGCTCCAGCGTGTACCTCCCGCACTGCACGATGCTGTCCGCGAGCTCCGCACACGGCATGCGCCCGCTGAAGCCCGCGGCCGTGTAGCCGTACGTCACGTTGGCGATCAGCTTGAGCGCGAACTGGCGCGCGTTCTGGATGCGCTGCAGCACGCGCTGGCCGGGGCCCGCGCGCTTCATGGCGGCCTTGACCATGATGCGCGTCGTCAGGATCTCATGCAGCAGCCGGGGGAGCACGCCGGGGCGGACCTGGGGCACACGAGGAGGAAAAGGTTAGAAGCTTCAAGCTCCCAAGAAGAGAGCTATGAGTCAAGAGGAGGGGGCCGAGTTGTGGTAATGAAAAGACAGACAGACAGACAGACTGGCACGTGGCCACCGGGCGTAGTCTGCAGCAGTCAGACACTCGTCTGCAAGATTTGAGAGCAAGGACTTGCCGGAGCGCAAGAAAGCTGAATGGGCTGGAGAAACGGCGATGGGTCGCGACAGGTGACCCGACAGTCGTTGATCGAACTACCAAAACCGTCGTCTCCATCCACTCAACCACCACCAGCAAGCGCATTGACTCGGATTTAGCGGCCGCGCACCTTCGGCGGCGCGTACATGATGCCGTTGGGCGAGAGGATGAGGTCATCCTTGAGCGCGGGCAGCGTGCCCGGGGCGAGGTGCAGCTGCGTGATGCCGAGCACCCGGGGGTTGCCGCGCGCGATGCGGCCGAGGCACGTGGAGAAGCACAGGTTGTACGCGATGATCATGCTTGGGTACAGAGACTGGAAGTCCAGCACCAGCACCTGGGGGAGGGGAGAACAAGCTGTAGTGACGAGAAGAGGGCACGAGAAGGTTGCTGCGCCATGAAGGCATGTCGGGCAACAAGTGTGAAGCCTTTCAACTTGCAAGCTTGTGGCATCAATGGGGCGATCCGAGAAAAGAGCGGCGAGATACGGCACAGAAATGCCCGGTCCAGCAGATGCGGACTCGATGAGATGTGGCGGCGGCAAAGCGCCAGATGTAAGACAAACCTCCGCAACGGCTGTGCAGAATCAGTTCTGGTTTTCAATCTACTGCCGTCTCCAATCTCCTCCCTTGACGTCCGGAAAGAGCAAGCTAGCGTCTCTAAGCGGAGCAACATTTCCCCAGAAGATTGCAAAAACAGGCACGCACAAGGTCCTGAGAGTCGCCGCGCTTGCGTTGCTTACAAAAGCAAACGGCGACGTCCCGGTTCTCACAGCGACGATTAAAACAGCTTTTCGAAGTGTATTGAGCTAAAAGCAGTGGAAAATCGACAATTTTCACAAGCGGTGCGGCTTACCGGGTCGGTGTAGAACCTGCTCTCGGGCTCCATGACGAGAGGGAGCGCCTCCATGGCCGGCTGCTCGGCCACGTGGCGCCGGCTGGGCGAAATGGCCAGGTAGTTCTGGCTGCGCGCCAGCCGCAACAGCATCGACTCCACGCGGTACTGCAGACACGTGACGACGAATCAGGCACGAAAGGAGCGGAGGCGTCAGGAGATACAAAAGTAGCCGAGAGGGGGCTGCTTGGCGGACGCAAACGAGGCTCCAGAAAGAGCAAAGGAATTTACCCAAGAAAGGCGGAGGGAGAAGTGAGAACGATTCGCGGTACGAAGCCTGCCAACGAGGGAAAAGCTGGTAAGCATATAACTCGAAGCAGAGCGTAACTTCAGCTACAAGGCCGAGCACAAAGGCTGTGCAGCACAGTCTCGCTGGAAGCTCGTCTCAGGAAGAGAGCAAAGCTCGGGATTTCCGAAACCAACTGCGCACGACCTCGGGTACCAGAAAAACGGAAAACCACAATGAAAATGAAACAGGGGACCGCGCTTTCCTCGATTTGTTGGCCCCCTTAGGCAAGCCCTACCTGGGAGCCCCGGTTGAGGACGGAGAAGAAGTCGATTCCAAACACGCGCGCGAGCTCGGACGTCCGGTTGACAAAGTCCAGCTGGTCCAGGATGTCGAAGTTGAGGCGCGCGCGCTCCACCACGTGGCGCACGCACCGCCACCGGCCGCCGGCCACGCCCCGGGCGAACCAGCCGGAGAGGGTACGCCACGGGAAGGAGGGCACCTGGCGCGGAAGGGACGGAGGCTGGGGTCAAAGGCCAATCGTCAACTCCGCTTCCGAAGTTAAGAGTTGGAAAGAAAGGGGGGGAGTATTCTCCTTGCCTCCGAAGTGAGAGCCCAAAGCCTCAAGCCGCATCTCAAGCGACTCATGCCCAAACTTACGGCCGTGCAGAATGCTGCAAACACAACATAGCGAAAAGGTGCCTTAAACACAAAGAGCGAGAAGTTGTTGTGGTCCGGAGAAGCAACCTCAAGGGGAATTCTTCACTCCTGCAGTATGGAGGCGGGCCCTCAGCCACATTTTGAGAACGTCCTCTCAACAAGCTGGTTTTTTGGATGTTGAAGGATGCTACCGTAACTATCACAGCGGACCCCCAGCCCACATTAACCTCTGCCCGAGCCCTTGCGCACCTTTCGCCGCAGCACCGCATCCGCGACTGCCTCCAGCGAGTAAATGTGCAGCTTGATCTCCCCGCGCATGAGCCGCCACAGGTTGAGCACGACGCGCCCCACCACGTGGATCCCGCTCGCATGCGTGCGCCCCCACTCGTCCTCGATGATCCCCTTCTCCGCCTCCAGCGCCGTCGCGGGGTCCATCCGCCCCAGCGCCGCCCAGCCGCCGCCCGCCACCTCCGCTGCGCCGCTCGGAGGGGCCTGGGTTTGGGATCGCAGAGGTCTAGGGTGTGGGCTAATAGGCTGAGAGGGTGAGGGTGAGTTGACTAGCGTAAGGCAATGGTGACCGGGCTGGCTCTCACGTCAGTAAAGTGTGAGCAGTCTTACCGCTGGTGAATCCGGTGTGAATTCATTGTGCAAGAGAAGCAGATCTACGAACCAAACGAAGCACAAAAGGGGAAAAGTACAGCCGCAACTCGACGTTTGCATACTCGAGGTCTAAACACTCTTAGATGTTGAGAATCCTTACGCTGGACTTGGCCTCAAGTCTTTAAAACGACGACTTAAGAATTTCACGAAACCCTCATCGCACCTGCTAGTCCGGTCATCGCCGGCCAGCCCGTGAAAGCCTCACAAAAACTCAAAGGTCAACGCGGAACCAACTGCCCCAAAACCCCAACTCCCCAGAAACCCCTCCCAAAAACCGCAAGCTGCGCCGCCCCTGCCGGCCTCACCTGGTCGAGCCCATCTGGCCCGCCCCCCGGCGGCGTGCGCGAGAGCGCCTTGAGCAGGCCCAGGCCGAGGTGCGCGGCGCGCTCCGCGAGGTAGCCCACGCTCGCGTTCTGCACCTCCCAGCCCGCCAGGATGTCCGGGTCGTACGCACGCACCACCGCCACGAACGCGTGCAGCAGCGACAGCTCGCTCGGCAGGTACACCACCTCGCAGCCGGGGAGGGCGTCCAGGTTCCTGGACCGAAGGAGGGGGAGGAATACGGTAGGGGTAAGGAACGGAAAGGGACGGCGTGGAGCGAAGAAGTTCAACCTGGAACAAAGGGTATCTAGGCACAGGGACCGGCTGGGAGACAGATGGATGCGCAAAGCAGTTGAAGGGGATCTGAAGGGGAGACCAGGACCGCGAATGCGAATGGGATGACAGAGGCGCGCAGGCCACTCAGCACTTCCGAAAGCACTGCATTAGCGGCGTATCGTTCAAATTGAGCACCCCATTCGGCATATAAGAGGGCAATTGGAAGGCGAAGCCGGAAAACGGACGATAAACGGTTTGCCGTGACCTCCCCACCTGTACTGCTTGTCTTGCGAGAGCGCTTCGTCGACGATGAGCACCAGCACGTGCTCCTGCAGCTCCCCGCTCGGCTCCGCGCTCGCGGCGTCCTCCGCAGCAGACGTTCCGTCCTCCATGATGGACACCACCACGCACCCCACCGCGTCGTAGCGCGGGTCGGGCCGCAGGTCGCCGCGGCTGGCGGCGTGCATCTATGGGAGCGTAAAAGTGCAAGTGATCAGAATGACAGAAGCAAATATTGGTTTAACACGTTCAGCAGGGAGCTTGAACTGAAATCGAGTCGGAGGATCAGGAGGGCGAGCCAGCAGAGCCGCTGAATGGATTGGGGTGGCTTTCAGACAGTCGCTTGCTTCGCCAGAAGCCAGACCATACAAACGTCCGAGCAAGAGAATTGCAAGAAAACAACGACCTTTCAACGAGCTGCCAACAGGTAAGTAGCGAGGAAGAATATGCTAAGATAAGGCAATCGATGAACAATGTATGTCTGGAATCAGAGAGGAGTCAAACTAAGAATGCTATGATCAGACCAGCAACTCGCACGCCACAGCCCCCACCCGCAGCCGTCGTACCTCGATGCTCATGAGCGTCAGCTGCTGTCCCCCGCCAGCGATCGCCGGGTCCCTGAAGCCCACTTGGCTAACCGGGGTGCCTCCCCCGACCGGCGACGGCGGCGTGATCTGCGACCTGTCGCGCTTGGGGGACACCATGGTGGGGCCCAAAGTGCCCAAGGTCGGGCCCGGCGAGGGAGGGGACGGCGCGCCGCGCGCTGACGTGGCACCTGGGCCAACTTTCGTGACGTCACTATGCCGTATGAGTTTCGGCGTGGTTCCCTGACCCGTGACGGCAGGCGTGGACGTTGACGAAGGACTGGGGCCTTGCCCCTTTGGGCTGGGAACATTGTTACTGGCTCTGGTCGGGGGCGGGGGAATCTTGAACGGCGACTCCAGGCCCCCAGCGTTCGGAACGCCCTCTGTAGCGTTGTTGCCTTGTCTAGCGGTCTCGGGACCTGTTGCGGCTGGCGCTTTGGGTTCAGCAAAATTGACACTCTTTCTGTCTGCCTGAAGTCGAGGGCTTCCGGAGTCCGGTTCCGGTGCCTCAGTTTGAACCCGCTGGCTGTGCTGAGGAAAGGGTGTCTCGGGCATTGCGTCTGGTGTGTTGGTTGCAGGCGGGGTAACGAATCCGCCGGGCTGTTGGGTGCATTGGAAAGGGAGCGGAGTTCTGCTCTGCGGGGTATGTGAGCCCGGCTTTTCGAACCCCCCCACACCCTTGTGAGCGGGCGACAGCGGGGGCTTCGAACGGAACGAGGGGCTCTGGAGGGGAGGTGACATCAGGCCAGAAGCAGGAACCCGCTTTGCTTGTGCCGGCTGCGTGACCGAGATCGGGTTGGATTGGAAGGAGGTCCGCTTTGTGCCCCGCCTTAGCGCGAGGTACGGCAGCGAGAGGCCGTGCGCCTCGTCGTATTTGGGCGACGTGGGCCGCAGCGGCTCCGCTTGCGACGCCCCGGCGGCAGTCCTGCGCTGAGACTGCCGCGCGGATGCTATAGAGGTCCTCCTTCGCTGAGAAGGGCCCGCCGCAAACAGGGGGGTGCCCAGCCCCTGCGCCTCGTCGTACTTGGGCGAAGCCGGCCGCACCACCTCTTCCTGCTCCGCTCCTCCTTCTTCCGCCTCACTCCCGCCGGAAGACCCGCTGCTTTCGCTCTGGGGGGTAGGATCTGGCTGCCCTTCCAGCCCCTCGTCCGTGCCCCCGCTCGCCTGGCTTGCGTCCCCCCCCTTTTGCGTGGTTTCGGGGATCAGCGCCCCCGTGTTGGGGTTCATGCGGAACGCCGCGGGGCCCCCAGCCGCGCGAGCGGCCCGCCGTTTTTTGCGCTCCTCTCTGCGCTGTCGCCTAGCGAGCCAGCGCTCGACAGCTGCGCGAGATGGGGGTGGCCGTACGGGGGCGGACACGTACCCCCCCGGAGGAAAGACCTGGTTGCCCGGTAGGATGAGAGCACGGCTAGTTGGGCGGGCTGATGCCCGGGCGAAGGGGACCGGGGGCAGATCCGCAACCGCACGAGAGCGGACTGCAAGCAAGCGGAGATAGTGACAGAAGCTTCAGGAGTTTGACCATGCGCTGTGGAAAAGGTTAAGGAAATTTCACCACAGAGGCCTCTGCTAGATCTGCTTGTCCCGACGGGCTCAGATTGCAAGAGCACAAACAACAAATGCCCACCACATCGCATCCGCACACCTTTTAACCTGGCTGGACCTAGTAAAAATCTCATGTTTTCAGTATTTGAACAGAAAGTCCAAAGTCCACCACGCAAGGAAAAACGTGCTTGCGGTCGTTTTCTCCTGACCAATCCTCCATTTCTGCGAATGTTGCTGGCTTAGAAGCGTGATATGTTAACACCCCAACCGCGCTGTCCGCTGCTCTCACCATTGAATTCCAACCCGGCAAAGATGGCCGACCGCTCCGGCACGTCTTTCGGGTTGCCGTAGAACGCGCCGCCGTAGGCGTGCTCGTGGAGCCCGTGCTGCTGCCACGTGTCACGCAGCTGGGCGGCCGACGGGGCTGCTGTGCCGTACCTCCAAACAAAGGTCCCACCAGACCCGTCTCCGCCATTTTCCAGATCCGCCTCCTTCCCAATCAATGCTAACGCAAGTTCGGAAGCCTTTTCGTCTTTGGGGGCAGGGTTTTTGGAAGGGGAGGCGCTCGCTTGGGCAGGACTCAAGGGGCTAGGCTGTGCCAGGTGCGGCGATTCGCCTGAGGACCGAAATGGCGACGGCGGGCTGGCCCTTACTTCTTTCGACCGGTCGACCTCCTTTTCCGTATCTAGGGACTGACTTCTACTCAGTGGCTTATTTACATCTCTTTCCGCCGAGGAGCGTCCCTCAGCCCCCTCGGTGCCCACAGGAGACAACCGCTTGGCAGTTTCGGCCACTGGGCTTTGCTTCTCATCTTCCACATACTCATTGCCAGCTGGCAGCCCGTCACTGGCTCCCGCACCTACTGACTCCCGCCTCCCTGAAACGATATCCGATCCGGCCGGCAGTCCCGGCTGGTCGTGCCACTCCTCCCCCTCTGACATGTTCTCATCCTCCAGTTTGGCTGCGGCCACTTCGCTCGGCGGACTGACACTTTCACGCAGACCTTCGAAGGGGCCAAGCCCGGGCTTAAGGTCCCAGTTTTCTGTCGGCTCCTCTTTCACTCCTCTAAGCCCAGGCCTCGCCTCCCCAAGCAAACTCCCCGCATACCCTTGCTCCGTGCCTTTCTCCTCACCTCCCGTTCCATCATCCTCCGCCCTTTCGAGTTCGTCTCCAAGCCCAGGCTCTGTTTTCACTCGCCCTACGTCGCCAACATCTGGCGGGAGCTCTTCTTTGAAGAGGCCCAGCTCTTCCGCCAGCCGCAGGTCGTCGAACGCGCGGCTGGCCCCCTCCCCCTCGCTGCCCCCGCTGCTGCCCCAATCCGAAACACTCTCCGACGTACTCTCCGCCTCCATGTCTTCAAGCTCCCCACTTTCGTCCCTAGCCGCCGTATGCTGCTGAGGGGACAATCCTGGCCCGGTATGCTCCGCTTGTGCAGTCCTTTCTGCCTGCAAGCTTCCGTCCGCTGTTTTCGGCCCTGCACTCCCGTACTGCGCACCCATGTACTCTTCCGTCACGCTCCCGGTAACCTCATTTGCACGCCCATCAACACGGGGTTGGTCATCGCGACGCATGTCAAAGTTGGCCCTCGTCGCTGAAACCTGCTCTGGCGTTTCCTCTCCGATCTCTGTTGTGCCCAGCTCCGCTTCTCGGGACTCTTCCCGTTCCGCGATTCCTAGTTCGGCTGCCAGCCTCAAGTCAGCCAAGTCCGTTGCCTCATTCGCCTCCTCGGACGTGCTGGGACTCTTCGGTGCCTGAAGTGGCGATGACAAGGGAGCCCAACCGAGCTTGTCAGTCCCATCAGATGCTGAAGCTTCCGATACAGCATCGAAGGGCCGCTGGCTTGTTGCACGAACGGGACTGGACACGTGGACGTCCAGCGAACGTCCTCGAAGCTTCGGTGAGCGAGCAGGATAAGGCTGTGGGCTCAGGGGCTCGCGCTTGATCCTGACAAGCTTGCTTGCTTCTGGCTGCTCGCTGCTTTCGCTCCGCCGTTTTAGGCCACCGACTTGCGACACCGAACGCTCCTCTGATGCTGCCTCCATTTTTCCCGGCGCTTGTGATCCACGCCCCAGATCCAACCCCCCCAAACTTTTTCCGCTCAAGCCTCCTGCGTCTGAGGCAAGAACGGCGGAGCGCAGCTCCGACTGAACCCTGTCCTTTGCTTCGAATACGCCCTCCCCACCAATACTGGCTCCGTCCGCTTCCGGTTTGGGGGTCCTCAACCGCACGTCCCCCCCTTTCCGCCCCCCGAATGACAGGACCCCGAACCTGGCAGCCTTTGCTGGTCTCGACGCCTCCGCAACCTGGGTGTTGTCTCGAACGCTCGCCGCCTCCCTGCCCATGTCGACGCTGCTTGTACTTTTGTTCTGCTCGCCCCTCTTCTCGCGCTTATGCTCCCTCCCGACTAGCTTGGCAGCCCCTGTCGGCCGGCGGTCCCTTTGCCGCCGCATTTGCTCTCGCAGCGAAAGCTGCTGCCCGGTGCACTCATCTTTGGACGGATCTTTCATCGACCCGCCTTCGCTTCCGCTCCTTTCCTCGGTCTTTGTGTTTGGTCCGTTCGCCGGCCCCTGCCAGCAGGCAAAAACGCCAGGAAAGCGCCCGGCACCGCTTTGAACGGGCCGTCCGACTGGCTCACCCTCTTCGGGCTCGGTCTTTGGCTTTCTGAGTGGCGGGGCGAGTGCATTCGGCCGCTCTACATGCAGCCCAGAGCCGTTCCCTGGCTTTTTGACGAGACCTTCTCTGCCCTTTCCCACACCCCCTGCCTGACTGTTGCGCCGCACACTCGCCTCTTCCTTCCTCTCCGCTTCTTCTCCTTCCCTGCCCATCTCTTCCGACCACCCAGCGTCGTCGGACAGCGTCGGACCACCGCCCCTCAACCTGCTGACGTCAGCCACCTTCTCGTCCGCCCCCTCCCCGTTCTCTTTCCGCCCGTTCTGCCCCCCCAGCATTTCCAAAATATCCAACAACTCCTGCGACGATCCGCCCTCCTCTTTCGCTGTTTTGCCCTTCCACTTTTGCGCCGGCCTCGGGACCCCTCGCTCTTCAACCCCCACCGCCCAGCCCCCCTCGCCCCCCTCTTCGTCGTCCGACCCCCCCAGCCCCGCCAACGCTTCGTACAACTCTCGATCCGCGCTCTCGACTCCCTTGCTGAAACCTTGCGTCACCTGCGTCATGATCGCCTCGTCCACTAACCCCTCCTCATCATTCCCTTCCGCACCGCTGAAGTCCAGCGCCTTGCTCCCCCCCGGTTTTGTGGAGGGATCCCCCTCCTCCTGGCTGAACCGGCTCCGCTTGAAAGCCGGGGTACGACCCTCGCCGACTTCCTGACTAGCACCCCCGCCCCCTCGCCAGTCATCCGGCGAGGCGAGCCCCATATCGTCTAACGGGGACTTGTCCCCTGCCGTCTTTGCCCTATTAGCCGCTTGCGTCAGAGTGAGAAGGCTTTCTAAACCCCTCCCCCCCTGGGAGCTGCGTTGAGACCCCCCCGGCTGCGACCCAAACACGCGCACCAGCCCGCCTGCCGGCGTGAAGGGAGACCGCTGCGCTTGTTGAGACGGGCCAGGCAGTGGGGACGCCCCGGGCGGTGGTACTGGGGTGGGTGGCCCAGGCGATTCTGGCAAAGCGGGGCCGGCTGAAAGGCTCCGTTGCTCCCCGGGCTGACTTTCTTGCGTGCCCTTTCCGACCTGCAGCTTCTGCGGCCCTGGTCGGTCGCCCTCTTCCGCACTCCCTTTCAGTGAAGGCTCCTGTGACTCTCCTTCTCGTCCCTCGCCTGACCCAGGAGTGCCTGCGGCTTCCAGCTGACCGAGGCCCTGTTCAGCGCCCCCCCGCTCTTCCTCAGCAGGGCTAGCATCGTGCCTTTTCCCCAGCAAGGCCTCCTCTTCTTCTGCCAGCTTGTACACCGCCCGCCGCAACCGGACCTCGACATCAGTTGGGGGCTGCGGGACCCGGGGGCTGTCGTCAGCAGAGGTTGGGGTGGCGGGGGGAGGCCGCCCCGCGGCAAGGGAACGGCGCGTTTCGTCCTCCCAGATTGGGATGAGGGATTGCACGAGCTTCATTGCGGGGGGTGCCTGTTCCAGGGGCACGGAGAGCAGCTCCTGGCGGTTCAGAATGTCTGCACCGCATAAGGCTTCGGCATCAGTGGCGCGGAGTAAGTCAACCTCGCAGCAGGACAGAGGCTGTAACACCAGACAACTGCTGATGGGGGCAATCAGAAGGAAGATTTGACAACCTTGCAAAGAGCTTCATGCTGCTTGACGGGATACTTAATTTGAGTAACATCAAATTATTGTCACGATTTCGCAGCCCACCAGAACTTCAGAAGAACCACACCCCAAGGCTGTGAATCCCTACCTTCGACTGCCGCATCCGCTTCCAGCTCGCAGCAGCTCTGCTTCACGGGCACACGTGACTGCCCCCCCGCCTGGCTAACCCCACCTGCAGCCCCCCAGATCCAGTCCGCAGCCACCGTCCCCTGAACATACACAGGCCGTTCTCTCTCGTGCGCCTCGAGGCTACTGGCCGGGCTCCCGACTGGACCACTCCGGTCCGCATCGGACGCATCTTGCTCATACTCGATCTTGATGGAGGCCCCGTCTAAGCTGTACCGGTGGCGCCTCCTGCCCGCCTTTCTGCCACTCGCGGTGAGGTCCGCCTCAACAGGGCCTCCCTGCGCTTCAGGGCTGCCCTGTGCTTCGGCGCCCCCATGCGTTTCGGCGCTCCTACCGAACCTGGGGCGAGTTAGGGAGGCGCGACGGGCGGGGACGGGGCTACGGAAGAGGGCGCGGGAGAAGTGGACGTGCGCCATGCCCACCAGGTTGTAGTCCACCATCACCTGGAGCAGGTATGGGATGTGCGCCTCGTATGCCTGGAAGCGCCGCCCCAGGATCGCGCCACTCTGCATACGAAGAGGGATGAGGGAGACAAGAGATCGATGTTGTCACAACCTAGCAGATTTTCAAAAGGGCTTTGAAGGTCCTGCGATGGAATGAGTGGAGAGTGGGAGAGTGGAGGAGTGAGAGAGTGATTGAGTGTGTTTGGGACTCCGCAGAGTCGTTTTCGTCAAAAAGGAAATTTGCGGAAGCGTTTTCGTCGAAGTACAGAATCGTTCTGAGACCCTGTGAGAACAATTTGCCCACGAAAACATGATCTCACCAAACGTTTGGTGCTTCATCGATTGTAATCATACGAGATACAAATCAGTGGCTCTTACCAAGATGGTCAACATTTGTCGTACCTCCCTGAGAATAGGCAAGGAATCTGACAAGGCTCTACCCCCAGATTCTCAAACAGTAATCGTTGTGGACTGCCCCTCACCTGAAGGATAGTAGCAACCCGGTTGACCTCCTGCGGGTAGTAGAGCACGACCTTGATGAAGAGCTGCTCCGCGGGGTGGTAGCCGTAGATGTCGCGGCCGCGCACCAGGCTCGCCCCATGCACGTGCTGCCGCTTGGCGCTCACGCTGCTCGTCAGCTTCATCGCCCTCTCCACCGCGCTTGCAAAGCGCCGCACGTGCGCCAGCGCTGCTTTCAAAGAGGCTCAGTGAGTATGGACCACTGCCAAAAACTTATCCAGAGACGTCTTTACACGGCACACCACTCATACATCGCACATTAAATTGTACAGGGAACACTGATGCAGCTGCTGCATTTGGAAGTTCATGCAAGGCAACCTGCTAATAGGGCCCCACAACAGCCGATGAGACTGAGACTGCATATTCAGCCAATTCTCATCAAGGCAGTCTGAAGCCGGGGCGCAACGAGTATCCGCATAGGGCCGTTCAGTGGAAGGGGCATAAATGACTACTGCCAAGAGGTCAATTCTACTGAAGATACGCGTTGAGGGCCAGTTTGGCAGTTGCCCCACCTTCTGTGAGGTCCTGTGGCATGGTATCTTCATAGGGCACGTAGAAGTAGGGGAAGGCCTGGTGCAGGTGCAAGCAGGTCTTCTGGCCCCCAGGGGTGGAGCCAAAAATGCGGACAACAGGAACCTGGGCAACTGCGGTGCCTGCATGTCCAAACAAGCACCGTCTGATGAACATCCAGGCCTCTCCGCAGCCAACAAGTCAGATTGCCACAGATTGAAAGGCTAGCATTACTGTGCTGAACACTGATCATGGTGGTGCTAGCTCCTGACAATTTTCCTGGTTGCTTGAGCCTCTCAAACAAAGCTGGGTCAACGCATCAGGTTCGTCAAATGCGTCCCTGCCGGCGCAGTCATTGCTGCACAGCTTACCTTGGAAGTGGGAGTAGCAGACGTCCATGCCTTGCAGGGGCCGAGCCATGTAGTAGTCAATTGTCACCAGGCGGACGCTGAAGCTGGGCCGCACAGTAAGAGTGCCAGCAGCAGGAGCAGCCCCGCTTGGGCTGCTGCCGCCTGGAACCCTAATGCTGTGATCCTCGCTTTCATTGTCAGCCATGGCGCCAGCTGGAGATGCTGCTCCGTCCCGGCCCTGCATCTGCTGGTTACTTAGGAAATGGGTTCAGCAGCACCAGAGAGGTGCGCCTGAGGTTGGTAAGTCCTACTTGCACGGGTTGGAGCGACAGACGCTCCCGTCCCCACCAAGTCCCCATCAAATGACGAACGTTGATAGCGCTATACAGGGGCAGGCTGGGCGCCACCATGCAATGACCATGTCTGGACAGCGATCTGCGACATCTGCATGATCACTGCGCGTGGTGTACAGATACAGCAAACCATCTGAACCTCGGCCTTATCTCGGGACCGGTCAGTTGGCGCCACGTCAGCCCCCCATGCCCGAGGTCACGGCGGTTCGCCGAAAGCGAGACTTATCGCCGTCGAAATCCCGAACCGCCACCTCCTGCCGGTCTTGAGCCATTACCGTACCATTACCGCTTCCAGCGCGGCCGCTCCCGGCCGGAGTCACGCCGACGCACTGCAAGGGGCCTGCCAGCCGCCCGGGCCTTTCATGTTTCAATGGGCGCGGCCCCGAGTCGCGCGGCGTGAAATTAAGACCACCTCGCAGACTGGCGCCCCCAAAAACTGGCCCCGCTTCACGCACTTATATCAGAAATTCCGAATATACGAACTTGCTAAGAAAACAAAGCGCTACTCTACTGGTTCACCGCCACTGCAAGAGCGGGTCGGACCTCCGCACTGCAGTCATTTTTCGCAAGGATTTTAGTGTCTGTCGACTTCAACATAACAAATCTAATCCTGGGAAGTAGGCTTAATGGCCGCGCTCCCGTTATCCGACGTGGCACAATTCCCGGGCACGGCATTGGTCAGGCGGCATCGAGCCTAAAAAATGTGCCGCGGTATTATTTGAAGTGTTTAAGCCTAGGCCGAGCCTAGGTACCTACTGTCAGTGAGTTGCGATCCATAGGCTATGACCGTCGACAATAAATAAGACGGTCCGAGTCGAGCCTCCGACCCAGGCTCTAAATGAACCTTAAAGGTATGACCTCAATCACGACCAGCCTGGACATAAGGCTCGGTCGATACCTTCAATCTAACGCCGCAGACTCGGAGTTGGGGTTCGATCCACTCGGCGGTACAGTACCGAGTACTGTGGTACTGTACCGCCGTACGCCGTAGATCAAAACAAATTTCAGACTCCTCGCCTGAGTCGGACTCCGGGGTCAATTAGGAGTCCTGACGGGCCACGTCAGCGTATCGGTCGTACCGAGTTTCAAGTTGAAATATTGAACTGGGTATCGGGACCGTCGGAAACTGCCACGTCGAATAACGGGGGCTCGGCCATTAAGCCCAGTAGACCAGTAGCCGGCCGATTAGGTTTGTTATGCTTACAAAATCCTTGCGAGTTCTGACTGCCCCAGGGGGACCGTCCGATACGGACCACGCGTCGATTTCGGACCGTTCGATCGCGCGCCGACAATTTTCTTCAGTGAATTGCGGTTGGGTTTCGGCGGACCGCCGGAACTGACTCAAGCTAGCCCGCCGGCAGTGTATCACACCGCACAATACGGTAAGTGCAATGATATATAACGTTAAACATATATTGCACCGGCCAGCACAAGCATGATCGGGCGTCGGCCAATGTTTCGGCGTGTAGACTATTGTAGTAAAGACATTGACGAATTGCATATATGCGTGGATCCTTCTCGGTCGAAGTTAGTGATTCTCTGAGCAGAGATTAAGAAAGCATGCCTTGCTTTTCCCACATTTTTCTATGTGACTGAGAACCCGGTTCTCAAGTCGTGCCTACGCACCTAGTTAGTATACTATATCGCCTTGCGGGCCATCAGCTCCATATCTGTCGCCATATCTGCCGCTGCTTACTTGAGCAACATGCCTTCAATTTTGGCGCCAAAACTCGCGCGCCAATCCTGTTTGATTGCTACTCTCCCGGGCCTCCCTTCTTGTGGTTGTTCCTGTGCAGCAATTTGCGTGGGTGAAGCTCATATCTCCTAATGACAAGCAATTGCCGACTTCTGTCCGCAACTTCAGTCTAATAGTAATTCTATCATAGTTAATGCATCTCAAAAACCCGCGGAAGACAAAGTATACATTACTCGAATGGCATCGGATATTTCTAATGATTATTTTGTCTTGTTGTCGTCCTCGACGGTCTTCACACAGAAACGCACAAACTTGCCATGTCAAGATGGCACTCTTGATTAGGATGCAATCAATAGATGGCAATTGCTATTCTACTTCTATAAAATTTTGAAAGCTTGTTTACCGTTCGAATCCACGATCTACTATACACGTGCTCATTGTACACTTCCACTAACTTATGGTAAACTTGCACAAAACGTAGCACATTTAGATGTCACCCCATCATTGAACAGATATATGTAGCGGACACTGTCTTTTTCCCGTGATTGTGCACTCTTTGTTAGTCACTCGACCTGTTGCTCACGAAGACTTTACAGGCTAACCGGAACTCCTCGTCGTCTTTGCTAAATTTTGAAAAGAAAAGCAGCTCCTCGCGTGCCTTCGCGTCACTGTAGATGAGTTCGAACACCTGCACAATAGACAACACGATGATGGACCTTCAAAGACCGAATGCGTTCTCACCTAAACCATACTCAAACCTGGCACTTGAACAGCAGCTTCGAAGTTGCTCACTGCATGCTTGCTGAAGAGGCCTTCTTTCAACTCTACGAATCTCAGACTTGGCAAGGAATTTAGCCCCACATCCTCCATGCCTCTAAGTTGTAGCTTTGGGCAGACCTTGCTTGCAACACAGCTTTCACTCCAGACTTTGGCAACAGAACCTCCAGATCTGGTCGTTGATGTAAATACAGGTTCAGCGAGGTCACGAAGAAAACTGATGATTGTCAAAAAGATACAACCGGAACATGCGTGCCTTAGCTTCTGTCCCGTACCTGACTGTACACATCCTTCTCCAGATCCTGCTTCTTCTCCAGCCGAGTCAGCCGCTCCTTGAGCACCTCAACAGGATCCGGGTTGAACTTCTTGCTCACCAACACGCTGAGGATGGCGCTCAAAAGGGCCCCCCCAACAGCCGTGGCCAGCTGCAACGGTCACCAAAGAGTTATTGAGCAGGTTCACCACAGACATCCACTTATGCAGACATTTTCAAATGTCGAAATATCGAGCACCTGAGGCCCCTTTCTATGTCTTATGAAGGGCCACATTTCTAACGTTGACATCCAACACTGTGTCTCTTACTTCAGCGAGCGAAATCCCAACAAGCAAGAAAAGGTTGCAGGGTGCATATGTACCTAAACAACCATGGACAGAGGAATCAGACGTTGCTCAAACGTTCCACTTCAAGATGCGCAGACTTGCCCACACCGAACAAGAGGGGTGCATGAGAGAAGACGGTTACACTTAACGCACCTTGGCAAGGACGCTGCCTCCGGGAATGCTCCAAGCCAGGTTGAAGGACACAACGGCAGGCACGAACCAAACAGGGAGGATGAGAGGCTGCTGATTGAAGAAGTCCTGCGAAATATGTAGCTGAAGGTTGTAAGACCTTGCATGCGACTTGTGATTCTGGTCGATTCAAAACAAACTGATATCAAGCACGCAATCAATGGCCACCGGCTGGTTGAGGCCTTCTCTTAGCCTAAGGACCTCGGCCTTCTTTTAACCTTAGGCCTGGTTGAAGCCTTCTCTTAGCCTTAGGCATCGTTTCCGGGACCCAAAACAAATCAACCAGACCAGAATGGCGTGATATCCCTTAAACCCTGAGCAGAAAAACCCATTTGAGACTTCAGTTGTCATGAACTTGTACAGAAGGATTAAAAGTGCCAGCTCTTACATGATCACCGCAGGACAAGATCTGTCTACCAAATGTACCACAAAAGTTCCACTTCTGGTGGACAGTTTCGATGTTTGAAGACGATAGAAGGGCCTCAAATGAACAAAGACGCCTCAGATATAGACCTGAACTCAAAGGCGTTTCAAAGCCTCTTGTATCAGCTATACCTTCATCCATCCAATTCATTTCTAGTATCACCTATCCCCTCACGCACTCAAGTCAAGAACTCTGAATTTCACTCCAAATTGAAGAACATTCAAGAAACAAACGATATATCTGTACTTCTTCAATTCAAGGAAAAATGATGTATCTCTGCAATGCCTGGATCAAATGGCTGATCTTTGTGTGAGATGCTGCCTCTATTTTAAAACATCGTTGACTTGATTCACATCAATGCAACGAGAGAGGCGCGTCCTCGTGACTGTGCCAGAAAAAGTGCAGACCTGGATCATGCTTGGTAGCGAAAGGAAGGTGGTTGTTGAATCAGAGGGGCCCATCTCCATGTACGTGCCGAGGCCGCCAGTTGGGGTGCTGCAGAAGATATTTTTTTGTTAGCCATTGCTTTATGCCATCGACCATTGGCTTTTGAACCAGAGAGAGCCTCAACTATTGAGGCGCACCATTCACTGCGCATGCAATGAAGGTGGCACTGGGGCTTGAATGCAAACTCAATAACCCCACAAAGGTGCAAAAGTTCTGACGAATGCGCAGAGCAGCGGGAGCGCTGCAAGGATGCAACTACCCAAGGTCCTCAATTCCTGCTCACCAGAAAGGAATCTGAGCTGAAACACGTTAGTCGCTTAGCAATTCAATTGAGTAGAATGGAAACTCCCTTGAAAGAAGTGAGAGCCTAGATTGCGACATAGATTTTCAAACCCGTCCAACAGGATGCAGCCTAGCCAAACTCAGCATCAAATACATGGAGCTTCCACAAGCACGTCTGAACAGCCGAACATGACTCCTCTCCTGGCTTCACAATGGAGCAGAACGTGCACTGGGCTCCGACTACCACCAAGCTCTCTTGCCTACCCCATTTGGAGAGATATGGTACGCTGAGTATCTTTGGGGCCTGCCTCTCTGCCCAGCGCTGACTTACCAGGTCTTCACCGCCTTATGCACAGCTTGTTGGAGTGACACATTCAGATCCTGGTGGCCGCGCCCGATACCTGCGATTGAGAAGATAATTCCCATCCAGAATTCACGAGACCGGCGGAGGAGAGGACCCCATAAACGGCCCACACCCAAAAAACCGTTACTCTTCTGGACAGCTGAGTGGACCGAGCAATAAGCGGAGTCTGCTGTCGTTGTGACGTACAAGCCGCAGGCTCAACGTTCCAGCAGGTAAAGGCTTAGATTGGCAAGTAGTCTTGATGTGATGGCAACTTGCAAACTGGTGGCGCCAAGAATTCGGCTCACTACACCACACGTGCACTGCATGACCTTACTAGGGTTGGGCATACAGCTTCTTCTGAGCAACCTGCCGGGTTTCAGTCGCAAAGTCAGTTGAGACTAGTGAGTCTCTTACTAAGTTGAATTAGTCTAATTTGGTTGACACTAAGACTGGCAAGCTGCTCGGGAGAAGCTGTATGGCCCACCCTGTGAGTGGTGCAGTGAGAGAAGTGTGTTGGGGCCACAGCCTGCCAAGGCTCACCTCCTGCAGTTTGTCTCAACCCCGTGAACTTGGTGAATGCCAGGGCGCTCCTTGGAGGTGGCGCCCTCCTGCAGAATCAGACACTCTTAAGGAAAGGTGCCTGAAAAGACCCAGCCACCATCTTGTAGCAATCGGGCGAGCTCTTCTTCTTAAAATGAAGTGGTTATATCAAGGACCGCAGAATATGCAGAGCGCGCAGGGGGAAAGCACCATAGTCTAAATGTAACCTGTAACATTGCCAGTGCCATTGATATCATCTCAAGCTTTCTGCGTGCCACCAAGCATCATTGCCATTGCTCGTCCCTTGCCCACCGTCAGCATGAGGCAAATGGAGGACCTGATCTCCTGGACACAAGGTGATGCCCCTGATGAACCGTTGCAGCACCTGAACTGTGCAGCAAAGACGCGTGTCGACCCGGCCACTGGCCTGCGTCCTTGGGTGCCGGTTTTTGAGAGCACGCTCCCAAATGCTGTCGCCTTTCCGCATTGGAGCACTCCAAAAGAGCTCGCCATCCCTCCCTCAATCGTGCAGATGTCAATACCGCCTGTGTAGAATACCTAGAAGAGCTTAATACGTACCAGGAGGAAACCTCAGAAAAGCGATGTGTCCCCAGCAGACTTCAATGTCCGATAACCTTACATATGCCGCTGCGCTGCGCATCAATGACAGGTCACAGAACACAACGCTGCATGGTGAATGTCTCTCCTTCACGTGAGTTCCCGGGGGATATACTGAATCCAGGACCAGGATCCAGGACCGGGATCCAGGACCGAATTTTTAGGGTTAACGTGCAAACCATTTAATGCGCGTTAATCACAGATTCCGTCTTCCGGCGCTTCCTTGCATGTCCGACATATTGGGGCGGAACGACTGGTAACGGACCATCTACGGACCATCTACGACTGGTAACGGACCATCTAGATACAGGAACCCCGGAAGAAAGCTGTCCGCTCCGTGTATTGACCGAGGTGGCGGTGAGAAAGCTGGTCGAGAAATATGCCAAGTCGGACGGCCACTAGGAAGTGGTCAAAAGCGCCCAACAATTGCGCCCAGAAGGTCCAGCAAATGTGTCAGCACCAGCCGCCAGCAAAGGTGCCCCGCACCAATAATATGCCCACTCGAAAAAATATTCCGCCAGTCAAGCCACAAGAAAGCAGGCCGTACTTTCCAGCTGGCCGCTGAGCGTGAGGCGTCCACCTCCCCTTAGAAGGGACCTTTCAAACCGACTGGCAGCCACAGCCGGGGATACAACCGGCTCCCAGAAGAATATATACAAGCTCGCCGCTTGGCTGGTTAATATTCCACCGACCACCCAACCAGGCTGCAATTCTCAAAGTAAACTGGACAGTGGCCTTCTCAAAACGGGTAGTCTGACCGCCCACCCAGATATGACCGTTGCTTAACAGCCAAGGGACCCCGTGTTGCTTGGACAAACGGCTCGGTGCCCTTCCCTCAGCAGCCACGCCCAAAATACCTGGCCGCAAATTGTTGGGGCCCCAAGCCAAAGGATCGTACCTGGGTCAGAGCCACCGGTCTCGCAAGCAGCTCCTCGGCCAAAGAGGGAGAGTTGCTGACACCCCGGTTCCACAGTCCTGTCCTCCGCCCTGGCGCCTCTTTTGGGATCAAGGGGAGTCCCTTGGTTTGCTGGGGATGACTTCGGGCGCCAATGGTACTACTGGTGAGCGGGAAAGAGTGTCAGCTCGGATAAAATTTGGAGGCCGCCAGACAACCCGCCGTCCGATTAAAACAAGCTGGTCCTCAGTGCGCCGCTGATACCACGAAACCGGAAAAGTGGTGCCTCACCGCGAAACCAAGTTGGCTGGTCCTTTCTGTCCTGCCGGTTAGCGGCTGGCCGGAAAACGACAGGTGGCCAGTACGTTGAGCGCCAGGACCTCTTTGCTCTTCTAAAAGTAGATGGCCTTCCAAGTTCCTGGCTCCCAGCTTGAAACAAACACAGCACTTGCCCCCGGTAAGACGGTTCTGGCCGCCATCCCCAAATAAGGTGGAATCCTGTCTTATGGGACCGTCAAGCTGCGGCCCTTTCCCAGAGACAAAAACCCTGCTTCTTTCAAGTAAACGGAGTCTGGCACCCGCCAGAAGCTGGCCATAGGTCCCCAGGATATGAGGCGATAACTTGGCATGCTTCCAAATAGAGGAAGACATATTTTGAAAATTTGTCGAGGTTTTTCAAGGTTTTGCAAAATGGAAGAAGCAGAAAAATTGAAGCGCCTTTAATGAATCTGTGGATCAAAGGTGAAAAAAGATGGGTATGCAACATAATCACAAAACATAAAATAGAAGAGGTTGCGGGGCGTGAGCAAAAAGCTGAAGCATTCTTAGGCAGAAGGACAGAGAGTCATCTAGTGCAGGGCAAGAGCGTAAGGTGGTGAAAATTTTTTGATCATATGAGGGACGCGACGAACAAAGAGAAAGGAAAATTGATAACAGCCCTCTCCAGGATCCGGATTGTCTGTAACCAGGCCAGAAAATTGCGTGCGCAATGAGCAGGTCACGCATCATCCCAAGGGAAGCATGAGAAGACTTGGAAACTCGACAAGGGAACTGAGGACCAGGCTGGCTGCGGGCCCTGCGATGCAAACGCTGAATGGAGCAAACTGCATTCCCCCCTACGTGAGCGCCACCCCAGCAAAGCATACGTCGGCTTCATATCATTTACGCAGTTGTTGAAGTGCATTAGTGACCGGCACAACATTTTGAAGTCAAATCAAAGCTAATAAGGTCAACTTACAGCTTAATAAGGTCAACGTAGCTTCCACTACGTACAATAAGGTCAATATGTCATAGAAGGTGGACATGACTGGTGACTTATAGTAGGAACTCCACCTGGAACTTAGTTTCAGCAAGCCTGGGGCTTCCCAGTGTTAGGGTTTCTGTTAGTTGTGAGACCGTTGGGGCACCAGACGTGCAAAAGGACTCCAACTATTGTCTGTTCCAAGTGGAGTAGAGATTAAATGACCCGCGCTCCTTTGACTGACATCGGGATACTTCCCCCCTGAATCGGGCTTGCCAGAGACATGCCGCCGAAAGCAGCAACGTCATTGAAGTCAGAATTGTTTTAATGTGCAACTTGAAAGGGCACCTACTGTGCTTTCGGCATAAAGGAGACAAAGAAAGGTTCCATAGAACAGGGTGCAAGCTCAACAGTTTGGATACGTTGATTGAAAGTTAATTCACCTGCACCCGAGTGTAGACCCTTGTGGTACAATATTGCTTTCCACCCGCTTCACTCTACACGCCAACGTTGGGACAAGAACCCGCCAACGTTGGGACAAGAACCCGCCAGGAAACCAGGACCAGCTCCACAGGTTCCCTCATGTCCCTGGAGCCTGGTCAACTCTCAGCTCTTAGGTTCCTGCCTGCTGCCTTCTATGATCCCCTACTACGGAGATTATGCCCCGGAGACTTTCAAGAACCAGATATAGAACCAAGAGCAAGATGTAGAACCAAGAAACCAGTCCAGACCTTTAATGCGGCTTGACAAACTCAACTTCTGGCGCACACCTGCGGCTACCTGCGCCCACTTGCTCCGACTCACCCAATCTCACTAAGAATCCCAATGTTCACGAAAGAGTTAGAAAGTCGTGTGTTCTAACCTTCCCAGTTTCTGTATCTGCAGCAATTTGCACTTCGTTGCTCAAGAACTTGTAAATTGTGGGGCCTGGCCAGCCTGGGGCAGAATGCTGAAGCCTGCAGTGTGGGCGCTTAAACAATTTGTCAAACGATCGAAATTTTCTGAAACTCTATTTTTGCATAAATATTCATGATTCTGCAGCAAACCAAACGAACTTCGGCCTTAATTCTGACCGCCCGATTGGTGACACGTGTCCCCCCCGGGCCGAGGGACGTGCGGTCCGCAGCCAATGACCCGGTTGTGCCGTCGAATTGCAAATGCGGTTGCGACAGTGCCGCCGGCTGCCGGTTTTTGGCTACCGGCGGGCAGTTTGCCGGTCCGCCCCGCCACGTGCTTCCACGTGGCACAGAAGCTCCAGCCAGCCCTCTAGTTCCGACGGTCGGACCCAAAATGGAAGTTACCGAGAAACGGTGCTCTGCATGTCATGGGACAGAGAACATTGCCCGTGATCTTTCCAAGGTTTGCCAGGTTGGAGCAAAAAACAGTGGCAACTAAGGACCGTTTTCTCATTATGGCCCCCTCTCTTGCACTTACATGCTCGAAAATTCATAGATACTGTAATGCTTTCGATACTTACGCTCCAACCGGCTGCATATGTAGACCGTTCACTCGTCGAATATCGCATGTTACACAGCGGATTGAAGCCTAAATTAATTCATCGGGATAAATCGGCCGATAAAGGGCCTATACAATGTTCGCACAAACCCGTAAGGTGGTAAGGCGGCAAGCCTCTCAGCTTGCTGTACCACTTGGTCGAGAAATGCCCCTATTTCGGTCGCAAACCCGTAAGTAGGTAAGGCGGCCAGGCGGCAAGGCTTTCTGAATCCCCCAGAGATTAAAATTCCTAGTGTTCGGAAATTTTGCCTGGCCACACATCTGACTTGGATCTGACTCAGCCATCCTGCTCATCTTTGCACCCGAGCACCAACGAAGTCAAACGATGAGCAAAGTCGAAAGCAAGCGGCCCC